AGAAGCAACAACCCCAAAACCCCAAAACCCCAAAACCCCAAAACCCCTTTTGGATTAGGACAGATTGAAAGCCCTTCTAATCTTTCAGCAAGGAAATTAACAATATTATTCGAGAACAATCTATTTTACTAATTTTTATCATAAACTTTCAGAACTTAACGAAGGATTATCCAAAAATGAGGTTGGAAGTATAGTCTTGTTTTTAGTCCTTATAAGACTGGAGATCAACCAAATAAGAGTCGCTGGTATTTAGAACTATTCTCATTGGAAGAATGAGGGCAATCCTTATTTTCATCATGCTCTGAAAATATTTCCTCATATCTTTGATTTAGAGAAGGTGAAGGGGTTTTAAATTGTTCATTGGAATTTTGTGATGAAGATATGTCTCTAAGTGTATGGTATCTTCTCCATTCTTGAAGAGCCAAGGTGTAGCAGATGTAATTACCCCCTACAAGAGCTTTAAGTATTGTAAGTCTTATAAACAAAGAATGCCAGCTTTCACCAAGATCTACAGGTTGTTCAGAGAAGCTTTTAATTATTTCATCGAACTTAGAGCAATCCGAGGTATCATTACCGATAAATGTTGGCATAAAGTACTGCCCAATCCTCATGCGGATTCAGTCAGATCTTTCCTGGTACGTATCGAAACTCTCATTTTGGATGATCTTGTTAATGATGCTAAATTCTTTCTTGGCGTATGATAATAGTAGGGAATAAAACCCGTAATCTAACTCAGAGACGATTATCCTTGAAAAGTTTCTAAAGTCTTTCATAAACCTCATCAGTACAGCTTCAGGTGTTATTCAGCCTAAAGTGTCACAAGAGTAATAAGCCAATATCGCAGATAGCAAAAGGTTGAAAAGCCTCAAAGTGTCTGGGAATGAACGAATGTCATCTCCGAAGGCAGCCACTACAGGCTTGATAGAATTAATCACAGTCAGGATTCTTTCAAGGTAAATTTCATACCTAGTTGAAAAGTAGCTCAATCTGAAATCAGGAAGTCTCGTAAAGTATCCCAGATGTCCGTTCTTACAAGTTGCGACTGAGATTACTAGAGCTAGGAGGAACCATGTTTGGAATAACTTTACCATATTTATAACAAAATGTTTAGTTCCATCTCTGGTCATCTTCTGGGGTTTTGGGGTTTTGGGGTTTTGGGGTTTTGGGG